CTTGTTTCTTGAGAAAGGCTTGTATTGCTATATACTTTCCTCTTAGGACTGCCTTTGCTGCATCCCAAAGATTTTGAACAGTTGTGTTTTCATTTCATTTCCATAAAACCTAAACATTTTTGAGAAGTCCAACCTATGATATTCCTGGGAGGCTACATAGGTGTTTCTTCCCTTTGAAAAATCATCCTTCTACAAAGCTAGTTGGTATACCTTTGTGTTTTCGAATTGTGGGCTGCACTTTGCCTTCTATAAATGAAAATTTTTTCTTCTCTCAGATGACTCTGGTCGCTGGGGCAGAGGTGGTTTATTCACAGCTTTGGAAACACGATCTGCTGAGCCACGAAAAATATATGAGCTGGCTGGGAAAATGAAAGGTAAGAAGCAAAGCAGAGAAAAGGGGTAAGGATGGAATACAAGAGGAGAGGACACTTAGGACAGGTATCACGTGGGTTATGAAGCACTAATTAAGGAGTTAGGAGAGCTAGTTGGGGGTCTTATTAGCTAGTTTTGTCATCATTTAATTAGTTATGTGACTTTGAGGCAGTCCCTTACCCTCCCTGTGCCTGTTTTCTCATCTGTAATTTGTGAATAATACTTATTCCACCCACTTCATGGGACTATAATGAGGATAGTGGAAATGCAAGTATTCTGATAAATGTCAATCCCTCTGTGCATATTTAAGTATTGGCATGAAGAGCGTTTCATTGTTTACCTCCACTGCGACCAACTCACCCGATCTTCATAAGGGAATATTTATCGAAAATGTCAGAGACCTGTGGGAGAGAAATCAGACCTGCCATTAAAGTGCTAACAAGAGCTGGGGTTGGGTGTTGAAGAGGAGGAGGTTGTTTTATGAGGTTAGTGTAGGCTGAGATACAGCACTCCCTGGAGACAGAAGTATCAGGTGCTTGGGGCCAAAGGAACTTGAAAGTCTGGAAATACCCTCCCTTGGCATGGAGAAGGAGAAAGGGCACCTTCTTTTACATGCAGAAATCACAAAGTAACAAGAGGAGTAAAATTATTATTGTCATTATTTTCTGGGGACTTGAGAGGCCAAGGGACCTTGTTCAATAGAGAAGGGCCCTTCAGATTCCTCAGAGATTGGTTTCCCCTAACTCTTCTGCCTAGTTCTCTAGGGTGGAAAGGGATATAAGGACTTAGAAGGAATACTCTTTCTACTAAGATAGATCACTGATAGAAAGGTTTAACAGGTTAAAATAACTGAGATCTAGCTATTGATTGGGCAGTTGGAAAAGCAGAGAATTCAGGAGAGGTCAGAACTAGAAATGAAGACTGAGGAATGCCTGTTTGGATCCTTGTTTGAAAATGTGAGGGAGGCAGGATGGGGACCTAGCACCTACTCCAAAGGACCTGAGAGGAGTCTTGCCCACCACTGCCAACCCATAAGAGACAGAAGACCTCCATGCAGGCTACAGAGCCAGCACAACTGCCTAGACCCCTCTTGCCACCGTCAGGGAAAAATCGGATGAGTGCTCAACCGGGCAGGTACTCATGCATGAGACAGAACTCAGAAATCCAGCTTTCCTGCGGGAAGACTCCAGCATATCACTGGAGAAGTAAGAAAAGAGAAAAACAAAAATAGGAGTTGGTCACAGTGGAGGTCGTAAGAGAAACTCTCCTGCTGCAGCCTTTCCCCCAGGGAAACACTGAATGGACTGATGTAGTTGGTGGAGGTGATCTGTCCTGTCGGGGGAAAGGAAAGTGGTGAGTAAACTCCTAGCTGTCCCAGGCAGATGGAACACAGCTGGAGAAACCCATTTCTCTCTGCCAGCACCCACAGTACTAAGGTGGGAGTTCTGTGACTGGGAGGAGGCAGATCCGAATTTCATATGGTGTCAGAGGGTTTGTGCTCAACAGGAAGTTCAGCCACAGTCTTTGGGAGTACCACACACAGGATCTCCCTACTGGGTCCACAGGCTCCCACAAAAGCCTGAATGTTAAACCCACACTTCCTCTGACTCTGCTGCCACCTGTTTGTACAGGCTCCCAAATGTGTGTGTGAGAGCGAGCTCTGGTAGACAGAGAGCCCACTCAGAACAGGCCTTGGTAGTCAGTCAAGGAAAAAACCACAAACCTGAGCTATGTATAGCTCTTCTAGAATGCTGTTTCCAAGAGGCAGCCTGCTGAATTATAACATCCAGAGATGACACAAAGGCTTAAAAATTTGGCCCCGAGAGAGCAAGAAGTGCGGAGCAGGTATACCTCAAAAACACAAGGAATAACTCAGTGACAGTACCACAGAACATAAAACCATCTGCTGAAAGCAGTGAGCACAGAGTTAAGGAGGTATCTGCTACTTCAAATGCAAAAGCAGCAGTGCATAACTATGAGGAATGTGAAAAATCAAGGAAATATGGCATCACAGAAAGCAAATGACAGTTCTCCAGCAACCAAGCTCAAAGGCACAGAATATTGCAATCTAACTGATAAAGAATTCAGAATAGCAGTTATGAGTAAACTCAATGAGTTGCAAGAAAACTTATGGCAATTCATTGAAATCAGGAGTAAAACATGAACAGAATGAGTTCTGTTCCGTAGAAGAGAACCAAACAAATTCTGGAGCTGAAGAATTTGATGAATGAGGTGAAGACTACAATAGAGAGCAGCTGTAGCAGGGCAGACCAGATGGAAGAAAGAATAAATGACTTGGAGGATAGGAATTTTGAAATAACACAGAAGAGGTGAAAGAATAGAGATTAAGTAAGAGCTGTGGGATTGGATTAAAAAGATAACTATCAGAGTAAGACAAATATCAGAATAAGCAGGCTTCCAGAAAAGGAAGAGAGGGAGAAGAGGGCAGAGTTTATTTAAAGAAATGATAGCTGAGAACGGCCCAAACCTGGGGAAAGATTGGGACATATAAGTCCACAAAGCTAATAGATCACCCCATTATCTCAATGTAGAAAGGCCTTCCCAAGACACATTATAATGAAACTGAAAAATCAATGAAAAAGAAGCCAGGGGGGAAAAGGACATAACCTAAAAAGGACCCTCATTAGGCTGACAGCAGATTTCTCAGCAGAAACTACAGGCCAGGAGAGAGTGGAATGACATATTTGGTGTTGAAAGATAGACTGCCAACTAAGGATACTGTATGTATCTGGCCAAGTTATCTTGCAGATAAGATATCCCAGACAAAAGCTGAGGGAGTTCACTACCACTAGACCTGCCTTGCAAGATGCTGAAAGGAGTTCTTCAAGCCGAAATGAAAAGGTACTGATCAGTATCAGGAAAACATGGAAGTACACAACACACTACTAAAGGTGAAAAATAGAGTTAGGTAACTGTAATCTATATTAGGATGGTGCGTTAACCATTCAACTCCAGTATAAAGGTTAAAGGAAAAGAATAGTAAAAAGAACCATTAATGAATACACAACATAAAAAGAGGTAAAAAGGAATAAAAGGGAGAGCCTTAATAGGTGACTGAACATAAGTTGCTGTCAGCTTAAGATGGACTCTTTTATCTGTAAGGTGTTTTATGGTAACAACATAACAAAAACCTAGAGTGGATCCACAAGAGACAAAGAGGAAATGGAGCATACACCACAGAAAATAACCAGTTTATGAAGGTAGACAGAAACAGAGGGAAAAAGAAACAATGGAAATACAATGGAATTTGCTTGAATTCACCAAGCAAAAGGCACAGTGGCTGATGGAAAAAACAAAAAACAGGACACAGCTAATTGCTGCCTACAAGAGACCAACTTGAGCCTTAAAAACACACATAGATTCAAAGTGAAGGGATGAAGAAAGATACTCTCTGCAGGTGGGAACTAAAGAAAGGGGGGGGGTGGCTGTCCTTGCATCAGACAAAGTAGACTTTAAACCAAAATGGTAGCAAGAGACAAAGTCATTATATAATGATAAAGGGATCAATGCATCAAGAAGTTATAACAATAGTGTATAGCATCAAGAAGGTATAACAATAGTATATATTCACCCAACATCAGAGGACCTAAATATATTTAACAAATATTAACAGGTATGAAGGGAGAAATAGACAACAATGCAATAATAGTAGGGGACTTTGATATATCACTTTCAGCAATGCAGATCATCCAGAGAGAAAAGCAACAAGGAGATAGACTTGGACCAAATAGTATATCAAATTGACCTAATAGACATCTATAGAAAATTTCATCCAACAGCAGCAAAATACACATTTTTCTCAAGTACACGTGGAACATTTTCAAGAATAGAGCACAAAACAAGTCATAGCAAAATAAGACTGAAATAATACCAAGTATCCTTTCCAACCACAATGGTATGAAACTAGAAATTTTTAATGAGGCAAGTTAGAAAATCTCCAAATAGGTGGAAACTAAACAGCACACTCCTGAACAACCAGTGAGTCAAAGAAGAAGTCAAAAGGCAGACCAAAGAATATCTCGAAACAAATGGGAACACAACATACCAAACACTGATGGATGCTGCAAAAGCATTTCCGACAGGGAAGTTGGTAGCAATAAATACTTATGTTAAGAAAGGATATTTCAAGCAGGAAACAAACTGAGTGTTGTTGGAGTGGGGGGTGGGGTGGGAGGGATGGGGTGACTGGGTGATAGACACTGGGGAGGGTACGTGCTCTGTTAAGCGCTGTGAATTGTGCAGGACTGTTGAGTCTCAGATCTGTACCTCTGAGACAAATAATGCAAGATATGTTAAGAAAAAAAAAGAAGAAGAAGGTAGCGGGAGGGGAGGAATGAAGCGGGGGAAATCGGAGGGGTGGACGAACCATGAGAGAAGATGGACTCTGAAAAACAAACTGAGGGTTCTAGAGGGGAGGGGGGTGGGAGGATGGGTTGGCCTGGTGGTGGGTATTGAGGAGGGCACGTTCTGCATGGAGCACTGGGTGTTGTGCACGAACAATGAATCATGGAACACTTCATCTAGAACTAATGATGTAATGTATGGGGATTAACATAAGAATAAAAAAAAAAAAGAAAGGATATTTCAAATAAACAGCCTAACTTTATACCACAGAAGCTAAAAAAAGAAGAGCAAAGTAAGCCCAAGGTAGCAGAAGGAAGGAAATAAAGATCAGATCTGAAATAAATAAGAGATTTGAAATAAATCAATAGAGAAGATCACTGACTCTTACGAGCTGGTTCTCTGAAGAGATAAAATTGACAAACCTTTAACAAGACTAAGAAAAAAGAGAGAAGACTCAAAGTCAGAAATGAAAGAGGAGAAATTACAGCTGACACTGCAGAAAAACATTAAGATCATAAGTCACTACTGTGAACAATTTTACACCAACAAATTAGATAATCTAGAAAAAATGGATAAATTTCATAGTCCTACAACCTACTAAGACTGAACCAGGAAGATATATGAAGTTTGAACAGGA